TTTGAAGAGCTGTATAGTGGCCACCTTCAGGATGAACCTAAATCAAATCAGTCAAGCAATAATCCAAAGAATAAAATATAATCATAATAAATAAAAATATGTCCTCTAAAGAATCACATTGTGTCGAGGAGATTATTATAGGGAGTTTTCCATTATTATGTTTCTATACAATTTCAGAAAGACCTTTGTTACACAGACCTGAAATCTAAATTCAGTTTAAAAGAGGATGAGAAGTACTGATGATTGGATGTAACTGAGGCCTGCTCCAACTCCACCTGCTGTTTCTGGTTCCTCTGCTAATAAAGTGTTCACTCTCTCTTCCACGTTGACAGCACTGTGTCCAGATTGCATACCTAAGATTTTCTCCGCAAGATTATTTAATAAGCTGTTTGTTATTTTTAAACTGTTCCACTCACATTTCACATTAATGATGTATTTAGTTGTCTTCCTCCCCAGCTGGTTCTCAGCTGCACAGTAATACTCTCCAGAGTCAGAGGACTGGATGGAGCTGAAGACAAGCTGTGGTTCTTCACTGAGCAGAGTTTGGTTCTCCTTGTACCAGGTGTATTTAGCTGCTGGGTTAGCATCACTGCTGCAGGTCAGAGTCACTGAACTGCCCTCCACTATCTCAGCAGAGGGACTCACTGACACAGAGGGAAGCTTCAGAGCATCTGTTGAAGGTATAAACTTGAATTACTGAAATGCTAGACTATGTTATAGACGATTGATTTTCATTAAATTTCTCTGTTTGTGTCTTTTTGATTCTCTAGTATTTGACAAAGTGGATGTCCATGGTGCTGATTCTGGATCTGTCCAGGTCTGAATCCTGTTTGTTGAAACTGACAGCCAATAACAAGCCTTTAATCATTTGGTATTTTCAAAAACACAATTTGTCAGTGGTCGCAGCAGCACTTATGTGTTTCAGATTTACCACTACTAAAGACCGTCTGTCTGTCGAGTCTGTCGGCAACAAATCTTCAGAGACTGGTAACTCCATTTTAAAGCTTTACCATGAAAAATTTAAAGTTACAGACTAACAATAGCATCTGTCTTAATGAAAAATGTTATACGTCTAATATTCCTGAATCACTGAAATTTGACATAAGAGTTATGAGTTAATCACAACATGCAGGCACGTGCACACATAGACATTAAAAGGGGCTTGAGCAGCTGCCAGAAAGTTTCCTGACTTAAGCAGTCAACTTCATCATTTTGATCGTAGTCTCCTCATCTAATAACTATCCATTCTATTAGTTTGTTGTATGCTGATAGATCTTTACATGATACAGACAGCCCTCCCTCAAATGTGAAACTAAGTCTATGACACCATCAGTTATTGTGTGTGTTGTGTGTGTGTGTGTGTGTGTGTGTGTGTGTGTGTGTGTGAATACTAAAGAAGACCATGGCCTCTGTTTGAACTGATTATTTTCTAGAAACAATTGCATGAGTGTGAGGAATTAAAATTACTTGGTAAGAAAGTCAGAGTTGTGTTAATATTTAATGTTTTAAAAAATATTTAATAAATAATTATGAGAAGTTCCCTTTTTTAACTTGAGGCCCCGCCCACCAAAATGTCTGTGCATGTCCCTGACAACATGTATCTGAATACTGATTTCTACTGGTGGTATTTTTTAATTTCCATAAATAATGCTGCTGTTTATATTAAGATCTAGAAGATTAGAAGACTATGTCTGAAATTTTAATTTGTATTGTAACACCGCTGAAACAGTCCATTAAACTCACACACTGAAGGAGAGGGGAAATCCTCATGTCCTTTAAGAGCACAGGAGATGATGTCTCTGGGATAAAACTGATCTTTATAAGAAGATGTCTCCACGCTTTCCATTTTCTGTCCATTCTTGAACCAGACGTAGGAAGGACGATCAGGTAGACGACAGCTGCTGTGACAAAGCAGCTCTGCCTCAGTATAATTCTGTAGACTGTTGATGATCACCTGAACCTGGAGATCTGTGAAGAAAAACAGAAATTTTGTTCTTTATGTGGAACTGAATCACACACAGACACAGAGATATAAACAATAGAACATTATGACAATCATGTAATCAATTAATCACACATCCAATTATTTCCCATCAGGATCACTATTCAGCACATTCACTTGTCATCAGATAGTTTAAATGTGCTGTTACAGTTTGTGTTCATCAGTACCTGTGACAGTCAGAGTTGTACCAGGTAAACTACTCCTCCATTCAAAGCTTCCTGCTGTGAATTTGAAGTGATACTCAGCTGAGTCGCTCTCTCTCAGGTCAGTGATTCTCAGAGTGGAGCGTCCTCTCTCTGTTTCAAGGACCTGAACACGACCTGCATACTGGGAGTCTTTACTAAGGTCCTCAGGCTGTGAGGGATTCTGCCACTGAAGACTACGTTCAGGACTGAACCAGAATTTAGATCTGATATATGTGTCATAACTGTTGTAAGTACAAGAAATGTCCACTGATGAGCCTTTGAAGGCACAGATGCTTCTGTCAGTGTAAGTCACTCTGTTGCATGAATGACCATAGACACCTGAAATGAAATTTTTGATGATTATTAAAACTATAGTCTTTACTGCAGTAATTCACAGCTGGTTGTATTGCTGTGGATGAGTTTGCTTCTTTTAAAAGATACATGAAGTCATGATAAAGAACATCAGCTAAAATTTTCAAAACAGCGTCACATTATTAGAAGATTGTGGAACTCACACACTGATGGAGAAGGAAAATGTCCTTTAAGGGCACAGGAATAGCTGTCTGCAGGATAAAAGTAGTCTGAATAAGAAGGTGCTTCTTCCTTAATTTTCTGTCCATTCTTGTACCAGATGTAGGAGGTTTGATCACGTAGACGACAGCTGCTGAGACACTTAAGCTGTGACCATGTACACGTGAAAAACTTGCATAATTTTGAGCTGCTCATCTGCACCTGGAAACCTGTATCTGTAAAGAAACAACAATATAATTTTAGAGTGAGCTTTCATTTTACACACATGATAAAAGGCATACAGAATTAACTGTAGTGTTTCCCAAATGTTGAGCATTTGGAGCTAACTTACATGGTTTCCAACAAAAATGTTACCTCTGACAGACAAAGTGACTCCAGGTGAACCAGTAAATCTTCCACCTGGTTGGTTTGTTATGAACATGAACTTGTACTCAGCTGAGTCGCTCTCTCTCAGGTCTGTGATTCTCAGAGTGCAGATGTTGTCAGAACAACTGTACTGCAAACGACCTGCGTATCTTGAGTCTGTTCTCAGATCCACAGGTTCTTTATCTTGCAGTTTAGTAAACCAGAATGTTTCCTCAACTTTAGTATCACGGCCATTTATTCTGGATGGGTATGTGAGGGTGCAGCTTATTTCCACTGTTGATCCTTTTAAGGCACAGATCTGAGTAGAGGTGTAAGTCACTCCCCAGCCATTCTGACCCTGTATCACTGTAACACAGAGCACATCAGAAACTACAATCAGACTCAAACACCAGGAGACAGACTTGAATGTGTGGAGATGGTTTCAGAAAAGTAACCATGACCAGCTTTAAAAAGCCCAGAATCTTATTTATTGCAGTCACTGTTACAAAGAGTTCTTCATGATACACCTTTAAAAGCTTGAGATCATTTTGAGTTAAATAGATGTTTTTCACAGCAGACATTTTGGCTGCTCATATCAGGAAAAGCACAGGGGGTGATTGATATTAAACCTGTACAGAAGAGGAGTAGGACCACATGTGAAAAATGGGAGGGCCTCATGTCTCCTGTTCTTGTGTTCTTGTGAAACGTCATGTTTTTGTGGCCTAAGTTCTGTCCCAATGCACAAGTTCGCCTTTCGCCAAGAACGGTTCAAATTCCTCTTGGGTGACACACCCATTTTACCAAGAATGCATCGGTTGCGAGCCAGCCGGCCAGTCTGCTCCTGACCTTCAAGACCATTCATAACCTCGCTCCTCGGTACGTCACTGACCTCCTTCATATTAACACCCCCACCCGTACTCTTCTTCTTCTGTTCACCTCACTGACCTCCTGCTCGTTTTGACTACCATGGGGCTCAGAGCCTTCAGACGCTCTGCCCCTCGTCTCTGGAACTCTCTTCCACCAGACATCCGCAACATTGACTCACTTTCCATTTTTAAATCCCGCCTGAAAACACATCTTTTTAAACTGGCATATCCCACGTGATCACTCTTTCTCAATCTTTGTTTCCAGTTGTTTTGTACCCTGATTTTATGCACTGTAATTTTAGTTGTTAATTTTATCGATTATTGCTGTATTGTTTTATTATGTTTTGTGAGGTGACCTTGAGTATTCAGAAATGCGCCTATAAATAAAATGTATTATTATTATTATTATTATTATTACAAGTAGAAATTACATTGTTAGCAAACAGCTGTGGTTACCAGCTGGCTGGCTATGTTTGGATTGTTTGTTTTGCATCTGCATTTCCTCAGAGCTGGGACTGGATTTATGTTTATCATCATGAAGCTCTGCAGTAGCTCTGAGTAACTGGAGATACGAAACGAGTACACAGGTCTTTATTTTCCAGATTATTCCCATACAAATGTATCTTCTGCTTTCATACAGCATGAAAGCTTTTATTAAAACAAAGGATCATCTCTGGAAAGGTAGTTGTGATATGACCATATGATGTGAAATGAGGGCAGCCCTACTACTATGCTATTTTATTTTATAAACACCAGCATGTCCCTTCATCATGAAGATAATTTTCAGCATTTTACAACACTTTCCTCCTGGCTTTTGTCTGCCTCAAATCTGCCACACTCACGCACTGACTGAATGCTGTGTTGATGTGTGTGTGCATGCAACCATGTTAGAAGCAGATGGGAGGCCGACGGTCTGCAGGTCTATAGCCCCTTTCGACTTGCCTTTGTTTGGTTTTCCATTACGGAAAAGTTGTACCTGTTCCTGCTACCAGGTACTTTTTTTCGTATCACCTCCGTCGAGGTTCCAAGCAGCTGAGGCGATACTAAAATGTGACGTGAAAACACAGCAGGTTTCAACCTTCTGCCAACTTTTTCATTATTAGTAAAAAAGTATAGGCTAAGGAAGGTGGCCCGCCGGCCCAGAGGTTGGCCGGCCTACTGGCATTTGTCACGTGAGCAACACAGTAGTTGTATATTGCTGTGTGTGGCCAGTAGAAGTAACTTTAGCTGCCGACTAACACTGTGCCCACAGCTAACTTTACTTCTACACACAGATAAACTAAAGTTGCTCTGTTCACTTCGTTCTTGCTGTTTGAGGGAGAAAAGTTTCACGGACTAAAAACCTTTCACTTCAACTAGGATTATTACAATAACTTAATTAAAAACGTAGTGTGCCTTAAAATAATTATAACAACTTTGGTAAAACTGTTTTAATACTTATTCCTCCGAATTATAGCCTTTATCTGCCCGTTTTAAAATGATCATTTCAATAAGAACAGTATTTGAATAGATAGCAAACCTATGATATGAAAATATCTCAAATACATGTAATAATATCAGTGTTAATATAAAATAAATAATATTCCTGACATCAAAGTAAAGAGTGAAGAAGAAATGGCCCTATTAGATTTCAGAAAAAGGTATGAAATGTTAATGTGAAAGGTAAATGCTGCTCTGTCATGGTTATTATGGGCCAACATAATGAACACACACACATATTTTTAGATTAATGATTAGACATATTGTCAATCAAAATCCAATATATATCTCAGATTCACAATGCGATATATAAAATCATTATCACAATATTGCCCAAACACACACACACACACACACACACCTGTCTATAGATTTGTCTCACTCTTACCCCTGCCTTGGCTAACCTAGTCCTTTCTCCCGGTACAGTTTCCTTCCCAGATTATTTCCCACACTTTTTTGAACCTGGAATCTTATTTCCTCTCCCTGCAGCTCTCGGTGTGCAGCAGTCTCTGAGAGCGCCTCCCTCTTATTTTCTCATAGCAGTCAGCCTTGGCAGCGGCTGCAGCTACAGCAGGTCAGTCATACTGAGCCGGTCCCAAATACTGTCAGCAATCTTTTCATGGTCACATATTTGTTTCATCAGCTTATATATCTCCTATCTTTGTTATAATGTCTCTAGTCACAGATCACCTCCAGTAGTATCAGCAGCAACCAAAGCAGCAGCAGCAACATCCCCAGCAACCCCTCAACAGCAACTGTTCCCTGTAAGTTATGTCAGCCCACCGTGTTTTAAAGCTAGATCTGGGTATTCCCTGTGTTTCTTTTTCAAAACTGTCACAGCATTTGTTGATGTATCGATACAGAAGCATCTGTATACACATATCAGCAAGGAATACATAACAATATATTTCTGTATCGATAATTTGAGAACAGCCCTATTTAAATCCTTGTTCCATGTGCCCCTTTTATACTTTGAGCACCTGCCCTTCCAAAGGTCTCTGCACGGCCCTGTTGCTCATATGATACTCAATATTGTGTGGCATGCTTATCTTAGGTAACTCAGCAGTTAAGACAGCCCTCACATGACAGCCCTTAAGGCACACTAGAAATATTCTACACCTATTAACAACTTCCATATAAGGTAACATGAGATGTGCAGCTGGGTGATGTCTCATCAACACATACACAGCTTAGCGGAAGAGCAGTCAGACCCTTACTTAGGTAACGTGCAGGAAGGGTCTCCAGATATATCTGTATTAATAAAGGTGTGATTTAAATCTGATCTCTCGTCTCCTCTTAGTCCTTTTACATGAAACAACTCGGGGAAGTCGTTGTACTTCAACACAAGGTACTCCTGATGGCCAGACCGCTACTGCTGGTAATGGGAAAGCGGCTTATGGGACTGTGGCTGCCCTGTGACAGATTATTCTTTTATATTCTCTTTGACTAAAGTCTGGATGTCATATTTGGCGAACACACCCTCGCGAGAGAGGTGAGAGAGTGAGACAGTTGTGTGGACTCTCCTGCTATTAAAAAAACTTGCTTTGTCATCGCTGCCGCTGGTTAAGTTGATAATTACCGTCAGACCAACACAGCACTCAGGCCACCACGGCCGTCTGCTACTTTAATCTCCACAACGTCTTCTTGTTTACAGTGTGGTCGGTCAGTAGCGCACAAGACAATAGGCTTCACTAATGGACTAAGTGACTGTGTTACCCGCCACAACGGAAATCCACCCTCACTTGGCAGGTTGGCAGGTGTTAATGTCAAGCCCCAAAAGGTTTATAAGGTCTGGATATACAGAGTGGCCCTCAGAACATACTGAGAGTGAGTAAGTGAGATATTAGTATAGCAGATCAAAATGTATTTCCTGTATTCAGCACCTTTAACACCAGTGATTACAAATTATTTATAGTAAATTTCCCACCAATACACATAATTTACACAGAAGTTAAGACAAGGAACGTGATAATAGGGAGACCAAATTACAGATCAGTGAAGTAACTTGGAGTCGTTCCAAACCGTTTTTGTCAGAAACTCCAGGTCAGATGAACTTATACACTCACTCCTCGTCATCAACATTAGATTATCCAGTACCTTTAGTCAAATATTTCAGCTGTTTATCCATGCTGTTTGTCAACTACTTGTTGCTAATTATTTCAACATTTTATAAAAGTGGCAGATAAATTTATTGCTGTTTATGAGGTAAACTGTATCAGATAATATTTTAAGCATTTGACTGGTGATGGCTTTCAAAAGTCGACACAATTCAGATTGTTCATAATCAACATTTTGTGAACTTGAGTTTATAAAGTTTACATTGTTAAACATATAGAGATACTGCTGGTGTAAAAAACAGACGCAGCTCTCTGTTGGAAAGAAAAAGAAGTAAATGTCTGGTGTTGCAGAGATCACACCACGTTTCATAACACCACACATCAAATGTGCCAAATGCTTCACAGTATAAATGGAGATGTACAGTACCTTGTACTGAGAGAAGAAGGACAACAAATCCACTCGCTGCTGCTGTTAAACTCATAGCTGCTCCTTACGTCTGTTAAATCACATCAGCAGGTAGATCAGATGAGAAATCCTGTATGTCAGTTAGTCACTGTAAACATTCCTAATTAAAGGGGAGGATGTGGTCTTTGACCAGTTTGTCTCTCTGGGTTTGTTTAACAGACACTGACGTGTTAAAAGCTGCTTTAAATTATGCACATTATGCTTCCTTCCTCTTTACATTATGCACATTATGCTTCCTTCCTCTTTACATTATGCACAGATGAATGTCTGTTAAACTCAAGTGTCCAAGTTGAAATGAATCTTTATTATTCTTACTGTTGTTTTGCATGATGCAGAAACAGTGATGTTTTATGAGTGAGTCCCAGTTGTGTTTGTCTCTTGCAGGAGGAGGACAAACATTCACCCATCATCACAGGACTAAAGCATTACACATTCCTGCTGATGGTTACACACATTTCCACTGATCGACAGTTGTTGGCAGTAACTTGCAAAGAAACAGAGCGATGTGCAAACATGCAGGACTGAAAATATTCAAAGGATTCTGCCGTGGATTACTTTGTTCAGGACCAAATTTTGATTCAACATCTTCATCATGACTCTTGTATGTGCAAGAAATGGTCACTAGTGCAGTGGTTCTCAAAGTGAGAGGGTTTCAGGGGGGTCCCCAGCAAAAATGGGAATAAATTCTTTTCACTATCAGTCCATCCATAAGTAACACAAAGACAGAATGTATGACTATTTT